TTCTCAAATCTCGCAACCAAACACAGTATGAATCATATTCTATTCAAATAAGATGGTGAGAAACCATAATTATTTTTATTATTTTCTCATAAAAATGAAAATTTTTTTTTTCTTTTCTCATCTCACAATTCAAACAGAGTGTTGGCCTTCTTGCCTTTTACATTTTTTGGAGCAATGGGCTGGAAGGGTTGATTTCGATGGCCCAGATGAAGAGGGTTCACAAATGTTAAAGTTGGCCCATTAAAATATTGACTTGGTCCAAATCAAGATTTTTACCTCTAAGATGGTGGTCCAACTTGTCCATAGGTAACAAGCCCATCTTGCAAGGAGGGAGAAAAATTCGCTACATGCATGACTGTGGGAATCCAAAGGGGGGGCTGCCCTTATTGAAGAACCCACCACGCATGGGTGCTCACAAACCAATAAGTTGTTGTCTCTCTCTGGGTTGTCTATTTGGAGAAATGCAACAAGATTTCAATTGTGCAGAGACTACAATAATGGTTTCCACTTTATTATTAATCCAAAATGATTTAATTTGATAATTATCAATTTTTAATTGGTTACTGGTTCAATAATATGAGCTCTATTATCCTTATCACATCATTGTAAATGTATTTATAGATATAAAATATGAATCTATAGCATTATTGATTCGACAATCACTCTCTTTGAATTTCAATTATATTAAAATTCCTGGACTTAACACCCTCTTGAATTCGTCAAGTAAAAAGTCCACACATATTGATCATTCTCTATGTTCTATTTTCAAGTTTTGTCTTAAAGAGTCACTAGTCTCTTCCCTTCTCTTTCTTTCTCTGTGTGAGTATTCTCTTATATCCTAATCAATATGCTAAATATTAGGGTGTCATTTGGTAATTGGGTTGGGTTGATTTTTTTTGGTTAAATTAGTTATAAAAAGACAAAATAAATTAAAAAGTTAATAAAATAAAATGTCACATTTAAATCATAATTATTTTATTTTTCTGTTACAAAAGTCAAAAAAGCCAACCCAAACGAATATTTTAGCATGGGCTAAAATAATCAAAAAACCAAAAAGTCAACCCAACTTCCCATACGAAGCCTAGATTTTGTTGACAAAAAGAATATTTAGAAAGTAATATCCACTTCAGTTTCATTCTAAATGTAAATCCAAGGAAGCACGGGTGCGGGTACGAGTACGGTACGGGTACGAGTGCGGGTACGCCGATTCGGCAAAACTCAAAAAAAGTACGATACGGGTACGGCTGCGGTACGCCGATATTTTTTTATTTTTTTAAAAATATAATTATGATTAAAGGATCTAACCGACAAATTAAAATTAAATATCAAAACTAAAAAAAGAACTACTCATTTTCCTATAATGTGTTAAAAATAATATTTGTGAAATCTCTCACTTTGACATGTTATGCACTGTGAATTTGTGATCATAATTTATTTTTAAAATCTTTCTTTTTGCTCATCAATTTGCTATTTTTATAGGGTGAGACCAAAGAAATAACAGGAGACCAAAGAAATATTTAAAGTTAATTGCCAACAGTAAAGGAAAAAAAATTCTCAATTGGGGCAGGTTGTCAATTGCAATTTGCATAATACATAAAATTGCATCATTCCCAACCACTACTAATCAATTAATACAGCATTAATTTTTAATGTTTTGTGCATAAACTTTAAAAGTTTGTTATGATTAAAGATTTTATAAAGAAATTTTAGGAGGATCTGAAGCAAAAGCATAATGCATAGTCATACACAGAACTACCCTTTATAGGCCTTATTTTTTTTGGTTCAAATTGTTTTTTAAAAACATCAAAATCATTTACTGATATGCTTACACAATTTATACAGACAGACAGGACAACAGAGAAACATCAAAATTATTGATCTGCAAGGGCACCAAAAAAATAATAATAATAATAATAATAATTGCTAATCTGCAAGGGCAGAAAAAAAAAAAGAAAAAAAAAGGCCCTGGCGTACCCACGCCGTACCCATGCCGTACCCGTGGCGTACCCATGCCGTACCCGAATGAACCAAACGTACCGGACCCTCTTTTGCCGTACCCAGTACGCGTACCGCCGTACCGGTACGCGTACCCGCACCCAGTAAGTACCCGGTACTCGTACGGCACTATTTTTGGAGTACCCGTGCTTCATAGTGTAAATCTAACATGTCGACTACGTATTATAATTCTAAATAATTTTTTGTCTACGAGTTTGGGGTTTACAAGTTCTCACTGCAACAAATTTATGAATATCGGTAAGGAAAACGATACTAAAGTTCTAGACCCATTTTCTAATTCAATGATGTGTAAATGATATAATTGGTTGATGATTAGAGAAGACATGAGATGGAGTTATCTTTAATATCCTAATGATTGTCAAATCACTGAACTTAAAAATTAGGTCTGATATTTGATCTTGAATAACAATACTCTATTAATAATAGTGTTTTTTTTTTTTTTTTTATTTCTGTGTCTGTTTATATTTTGTGTCATTGTCTTTTATATGTGTCATATAGTTTCATCCTATGCATGTTTTTTTGTGCTGTCGAGAGTCTTTTGAATTTTTCCTAAAAAAATAAGTATTGTACAAGGTTCAAGGCTTCTACTGTATAACCAACACAAATACATCAATGTATGCATGTACTCGAGTCATGTGAAATAAGTGGAAATTAAAGTGACAACAAAATTTCATGATAAATATATTGGGATGGATAAACATAAAAAATTATATTAAGTTTGTTAGCTTTATTATAATTTGTTAATGGGCACCTTGGACCAGCGCCATACCCAGTTTTGATTGCAAATGGTCAGTGGGGTGGATTTTTGCATGTGAATACCTTTTCAGCAGCTTCTGGATCGTGTGCAGCTGTTGTCTATCGCGGCAAGAACGAGTTCGGGCAAAGCAGTGCCTGGTTGCTGGCTTCATCCAATCAATGCAACACAACTAATGACAATAAGGTTAGTAGGTACCATTTCGGTAACATTTATGTTTATAAAAACATTAAAAACTATAATTAACAATTCGTTTGGTGTTTTTGAAACATGTGCGCATATCATTTTTTTATTTTTTATTTTTTTGGGTTTTTTTTACTGAAAACAACTATGAATTTGTCTATTTTTGTAAATAATAAAGTAAAAAATTGTGATGTTTCCAAATAGCAACATAGTATTGTTGGATAGCTAGTATTTGTTCATGTAAATCAAAACAAAAAACACAGAATATGCAGCGGATTAAAATGATCAGATCATACCTTCTTGATGATAGAACCTTCTTGGATAAATCACGTGCTTCCAGGAAACTTCTTGATGAACCAACCCAGCAGTGGAGTGATATCACAGATTGATTTATTTTTTATTTTTTTGGGTTTTTTTTTACTGAAAATAACTATAAATTTGTCTATTTTTGTAAATAATAAAGAAAAAAATTGTGATGTTTCCAAATAGCAACATAGTATTGTTGGATAGCTAGTATTTGTTCAGAATTGGAATTGCATTTCATGGGAACAAATTAATATACTTCAATACTTGTATATAACCAATTACAACTTCGAAAAAAAAATGAATCTATTATGCAGGACTATACCGATATTCGTTTGGATGAACACTATATAGCAAAGACTCTGATGGCCTTTGGTGTGCTGTCTCTAATTTGTTGAACAATTCTGGCGGCCTAGTTATGAAGGGTGTTAGACTTGCCCCGTAGTCGACGGAGTGATGGCACTAAAAAATGCCTAGTTTCATCAACCTATTTATTATGTTATGGCGTCTCAAATGCCTTCTTTGAAGTTTGTCATATGGCAATGCCAAGTAGTGAGAATATTTCTTGGTTTGATAATAATAATAGTTATTATTATTATTAGAAAATAAATACTTGCATTATTATTTAAATAGGACATGAAGCATGAAGTAATAATATTACACGCAATCAAGAACTAAGCTAGTAGTGGTGTTGTTAGAGCATCAGCATCAGAGTCGCTACAACGACTTTGACGCTATTGTAGAAAGTCAAACTGTAAATATATTGATGCATCAGAGTCGCTATGGGATTCATTCATTTTGACAAAGCTACAGTTCCTCCTCTGATGATGCAAGGAACTATTCACAGGGTAATCAATTTTTTATTATATTTTCTTTCCCGTGCTTTTTTCTCCCGCCAACAAGAACACTATCTCTCATACCACCATTACTGTCAACACTTACCAGAGCCATCACACAAATTTCATTCTCACCATCTTGGAAGTTCATCAAGTTCTCTCTCTCTCTCTCTCTCTCTCCCTCTCTCTCTCTCTATCTAAATCGTGTATTAGTTGATGAACTAGATTCACTTTTGTTATTATATACACATATATGTTTTTGCATTGTAAAATCATGAATCAGTTGATGAACTATATTCACTTTTGTTATTATACACATATATGTTCTTGCATTGTAAAATCATGAATCAGTTGATGAACTATATTCACTTTTGTTATTATACACATATATGTTCTTGCATTGTAACTGTTTGATAAAATGTCTCACTAGTTTGTCCAAGATGCTATGCCAATTGATTGATTCATTAATAAATCAAGAATGTTGATTTTCAACATAGCTTTACAAAACACCAAAACCATTTTTGACTCATTTTTTCAACTTGGAATCTCTATTGAAAAAAGAAAAAAAGAATTAGCTCAAAAACAGAACAACATGCCATGTTTTGAATAAATTTTGCACCCCTGTGTTTTCTAAGTTGCACCCTCTACCTTTTTATAATTTTTTTTTTCTCCACCTACACTGAATTGTAATTTTCCCTTAATTGATTCCTATTGCACATTAGGATTGGAATAGTTAAGGATTATAATTTTGGAATTTTATATTTTTGTCATCTCTATAAATAAATAAACACATGTGGTTATTTTGTTAAACAATCAATGCACTCACAAGTCTTGTAGGAATGGAGTCAAATGGAGACCCATTTTTTACAAATCTTTTACAAGAGGGATCTAACATTGATAGCTAATTCATGGAGTCTCAGTATATGAGTCAAGTTGGTCAAGTGGTTGGCCAAGAGTCTCCATTCTCTACTCAATTGGAATCCACTACTAAGAAATCACGTGGAGGCAACTTTTCCATAGAAGAAGATAATATGGTTGTATTGGCTTGGCTCAACACTAGCTTGGATGTAGTGCATGGAAATGAGCAAAAAAGCAAGACCTTTTGGAGGAGAGTTGAGGAGTACTTTCACGAGCATAAGACATTTATTAGTGAATGTAACGATAATTCTTTGATGAATCGGTGGTCAATCATTCAACTTGGCACTAGTAAGTGTTGTGGGTACTTTGCCCAAATTGAAGCATTGCATCAAAGTGGTGTTAACAAGCAAGACAAGGTATTAATTACATTGATCTTTATACTTCTCCTAGCATTTTCATTTTATGTTAAGAACCTAATTATTGGTTTTTTTTTTTTTTTTTTTTAGATTGGCAAGGCAAAAATCATGTACCAAGAGGCTAATAAAACCTTATTTCAATTCAAACATTGTTGGAATGTGTTGAGGCATCAACCAAAATGGTTCGAGCAATGCCAAAAGAAAAAACCGAAAAGGATTAGAAATGACCCAACATCTTCACCTTCAACACCAGAGCCAATCAACCTAACAGAAGATGATATCTCACCCTTGAAGAGACCTATGGGTAGGAAGGCAGAAAATGAGCAGTTGAAAAAAGTAAAAGAAAAAAGTAAAAAACCATGATAGTTGTTCTCCAATTGTGGATTTACTGAATGAGATGAAAGAAGAAAGAAAAAGAGGAACTGAGAAGAAACTTGAACTTCTTCAAAAATCTTATCATATTCATGCTTCAAGGGCTCGAACTGAACAATTGAAAAAGGAAGAGAGAATCATGAAAATTGATACAAGTGAGATGTCCCCAATGCAGCAAGAATATTATCGTCTAGGCCAACTGGAAATCATTGAGAGTAAGGAAAAAATTAATGATGTGGAGTAATTGCATGATTTCTACTTGGATGATTGTAATATTTGACATGCTTAACTTGCTTTTGTATTTGGATGTTTTTGGAATGTTTATGTTTGGATGTTTTTGGGGTAGGAAAAAAATTAATGATGTGGAGTGATTGTAATATTTGACATGCTTAACATGCTTTTGTATTTGGATGTTTTTTAAATGGTTTTTGGAATGTTTATGCTTGGATGTTTTTGGAATGTTTATGTTTGGATGACTTCATGTTTAAATGATTGAATCCAAATGGCTTCCTTGTATGTATGTTGTGGGCAGCAAAACTAAACTAGAGCAAAGCTGGGGTCGTCCCCCAGGATGACCCCCAGGATGACCCATGAGAAGAGGAAAAATGCTAAAATTTTGCTTAACCGGTCGACCGCTCGGTCGTCCAGCCGGTCGACCACCCTGGCTCCTGTGTTGTTGCTGTTCTGTTGTTGCTCTGGTGCTGTCTTGGGTCTTATTTTATACTTGTTTTCACATCATTTTGCACTCCAAAAATATGGTTAAACACAAGGAGCATTTAAGGATTATAATGATTTAATTAAACTTTTCCAATTCAATTATAATCCATTTTTCATTACTAAAACAAATAATTAAAAACATAATACATTTATTTGCCACAAAATAATTAAAACATGAAACCTTGTTCCTATGACTGGCTATATAGTTGCCACAAGTGCTTAACAAGATCTGATTGGAGTTGAGAATGAATTGCTTTGTTTTTGACACGGTGATTTTGTTGAATAAGTTCCATAAGCTCGATTGTACGCTCATGTGACACTTGTGCCAAAGGGGTTTCATCGATTTGTTGAAAATCAGTGTCTTGTGCTTCATTGTCATCTTGCTCATCCTTAATAATCATATTGTGCAATATTATACAACCCTTCATAATAACTTTAATTGACTCAAGATTCCAAGATCGTGCAGGTCCACGCACAATTGCAAAACATGCTTGAAGCACCCTAAATGCATGCTCCACATCCTTCCTACATGCCTCTTGGGCCATAGCGAAATGTTTTTTCTTGTTTCCTTGTGGACATGGAATTGTTTTCACAAATGTTCCCCATGGTGGATATATACCATCAGCAAGATAATATCCCATTGTATAATCATTACTGTTGATGGTGTAATTGACTAGAGGAGCAAGCCCTTGAGCAAGCTCAGTAAATACAGTGGACCTTTCTAGTACATTGATATCATTATGAGATCCAGGTAACCCAAAAAATGCATGCCATATCCAAAGATCATATGATGCAACTGTTTCCAAAATAATTGTTGGTTCATGGGTGTGACCAGTATACATACATTTCCATGCAGCCGGGCAATTCTTTCATGTCCAGTGCATACAATCAATGCTTCCCAGCATTCCAGGAAAGCCACGACTTTTGCCAACTGCTAGTAGTCTAGCAATGTCATTATTGTTTGGTGACCTCAAATACTGATCGGAATAAATTTCAACCACCGCTTTGACAAAATAAAATAGACTCTTCATTGCGATACTTTCTCCAATCCTCAAGTATTTATCCATAAAATCAGCTGCTACTCCATAAGCGAGCATTCTAAGTGCTGCAGTCATCTTTTGAAGGGAAGATAAACCGAGCACTCCAGCACTATTTCTTTTCTGGACAAAATATGATTCATGAGCTTCTACCGCAGATTGAATACGGAGAAAAAGAGAACGTTTCATTCGAAACCTCCTCCGAAATACATTGGAAGGATATACTGGTGGATCAGCAAAATAATCTAGAAAGAGTCTTTGGTGACCTTGCAAAGAATTGCGCCAAATGAATTTGCGACGTTGATTAGAATTATGCCGTGATTTGGATGAACTATTGGCTGCTAGCTGTTGCCCTTCCATAACAGCTATCCCAATTGTCTCCAACTCATCATCGGAGTCAGAGTCATAAAGAATCATATCTTCTAGCGAATGAAGATCCATATAGAGAAAATAAATACAAAATGAAATAGCAAAATTAGGCTGATCTGGATGAAATTTAGATAGCAATTGGTTTTATTTATATTGAAAGAAATGACCGTTGGAATATGACCGTTAGAATATAGCCGTTGGAATATGACCGTTAAAATATAGCCGTTGGAATATGACCGTTGGAATATAGCCGTTAGAATATGACCGTTGGAATATAGCCGTTTTTAAAATATGATGGTTGGAAAAAAATATATTTAAATTTAAAAAGATAAAAGAATAAAAAATAATATTTTAATAAAAATAGAATTTTAAAATAGAGAGTTTGATGGAGTGTATATATAAAAAAGAAGTTAGCTAAAATACAAAATTGGATTTTGGGTTATAATTTAACTCAAAATTTGTTAAGGTTGATGCAGATGCTCTAAACAATTTGGCTTTATCAGCCGAGGGAAACCAGTCTGAGTTAAAGGAGGGTCGAGTGGTAGTGGACTTCTTTCGCTTAGAAGAAGACATTACTAAACCAAGAATAAATCAAAAGAATAATCACCAATCCCCCAACCCAAGACAAAAATTAAAACCAAAAGAGAGAAAAGAAAACAAAGAAACAAAACATTAGTAGCACATTTAAATCTAGCAACATTAGACAGTCAAATAGTGGTATGAATCAATATGACCATCGCAAAACAATCACAATAGAACAGAATGCATCAGACATGTGCCAAGGTGAACATAGTAGCCATCTGTGGACTCGCCTTTTTCCACGCTCCGCCTTTCAGAAAGATTTGAAAAGAAGGACTCACAGTTCGGACTCTCGCGGTTCTGAATCTAGTCTCACAAGTGCAATGTGAAACTGATAATCACCAAAGAGTCCAATCCGGCTAATCTTTTTGGAAAATCAATTTTAAATCAAATAATGCCAAAATTGGACTGCTTTGCCAGATACACAGTCGCCACGTAAATATTTTTTTTTTTAGGAAATTTAGGAAACCCTAACTCATGCCAAAGGCTACATGCCCGTCATCACCAAAGTTGTCTCGGCTCGGGAACTTAGGTACGAAGGGGGAAGATCATGAATTGAGCACCCCCGCTCGCCCGATCAAAAGATCGGCCTCTACTAATCATGATATGAGTTTTTATAAACATTATGTGTTCTTATTTCAGTTATTAAACTAGTTTTACTATGTGACGCACACAAGCAAGTACAGACTAGTTTGCTTAATTTGGAACAATTCAACTCATGTTTGTTTGTGAAAATGGTTTGAATTTGCCACCTCAACTGGCTTAAAAATACGGATTTGCCACCAAATATAGTGGGCTTAAAACATGATATGCCACTCGACAAAGTAGGCTTAAAACTCACATTTGTTGAATCGTTCCAATTCAAACAAAAAGTCTTCATCCACAGGCATTCGTGCAGTTTAGCATTTAAGCACATGGCCTAATTAGGGCAATATGGCAATCACACTCATGCAAGTATGCTAAAGCGTAAAAAACTCACCGAGTACTCCAAGTTAGGAAAGAAAACAAAGTCAGAAAAATGCATGATTTCTAACTATGTTAAATGACTAATGCAAAACATGCAATAATGCAACTAAATAGGCTCAGCTATTTAATTATGGTATTTGCAACACTTTGATAACATGCTTTGAAACACGTATTCAAAGAAGTATTGAAATGACAATGCAGTTTGAATGATGCGCCAAGCCTCGGTGCATGCAAGACAAAAATGAATGAATGCAAGCATGCGAGCATAAGGTGTGCTAATTGAAAATGTCCCTAATCTAACCATCAAAAGCGATAAATAAAAGGGAGAAAGATGTGGGGTTGGAAAACATACACACACACGCACACTTATTATAACATTACACCCTCGCGAAGGAGGGTCCAAATAAATAAGAGCTAACTAGCTACGCTAATTAAGCTAACTAATCATTTCAAACTGAAATCAAATAACTAGTTAAGCTAACTAATTATTACAACACTTTAATCAACTAGTAAACTAATTAATTAAAACAAATACACACTAACTAATCATGCAAGACATTAAACTAAGCTGCCACTACTCCACCTCGGGAAGTGGAAGATGCATGCGCTCGATTTTTGCCCCAAAAAGTCTTCATTTTTTTCTCTCGAAAGGCTCTGTTCATAGGGTTAAGCATACTCTAAAACTTTTCTGCTCCACCTTACCAAATATTTGCTGAGGGTCACACCAGTGGCCTGCCGGCCATAGAGGAATGTTGCCGGCCACCTACCGGCTAAAGGGGTGCACTGCCGGCCAGAAATGAAGCCTTGACGGCCACTGATGAGGCACTGCCAGCCACTGATGCTTTGAGTCACCATATTGCAACAGAGCACAAACAGGGCAAAATGAAGATTTTTCCAGGGGTATGTTTATACTGTATCCATCCTTATCACTTCAAAATCTCAAAGGAGTGACACACTTGGATCCAAAACCACCAATCAAGCAATTTCATTGCATGATGGCCAAAGATCCAAGTTGTACAATTTTGATAAATGAACAAATATGACTCAAAGGACCATTACTCTATCATGCTTGATCAAGGGCAATGGAGACCAAGGAAAATGACACATTTCATCACTATTGAGTATAAAATGTCCCATTTACCTTGTGTTCAAATTAACGTCTGATTTGAACACATGCAATGCAACACAAAAAGATGCTTATCTAGCTTCTTTTACTTGTCAGTTTTGTTTACTCATTTTACATTACCGATTCATTCTTTAATCGATTAAGTCCATTGGGTGAGTGTCCTCTAAATAGAAAGACGGCTCAAAACACAAGTTGCTTTGGGCATGAAAAAGGTATTACACTGTTCGTAATGAACCCCTTAAAGGATTAAACCATTAGGTGCAACACCTCAATTTCACACTTTGGCAAACAAGTGGTTTAAAACCACTTTCAAGGAAAACAAAAGAGTGAAGAATTGAGGGAGATTGCAGAGATTTTAGATGCTGAAATAAAGTGCAAAACAACACTAAAACAAGCTATTAACTCAAAACAATAATGACCAAAGCATTAAAACATTAAGCTAGTGAAGGAAATTGCATTACAACTATGTAAAACAAGCCTCAACTGAACTAACCAACCCAAAACAGAGCCAAACAGGTCAAAACAGAGGCAAAAACATGCTGGACTCAAGCCACAAAAAGCTAAAAAATAAGCTAACATGTGAGGCTAACTAGGCATGCAAACAAGACACAAGGAGGAGAGTTTAACCCCTCCAATTTTGGACTTCAAAAGTTCATTTTTACCACTGAAAAACCTCTGAGATTTAGTGATTGAAAGGCCAAAAAAAATTTGTTTTGAAAGTGGTGAACAATAGCACAAAAGCTCAACAAGCAAAGAAGCAAAAGGGTGGACAATCCCTTAACAAAAAAAAAAAGGCTTCAAACCACCATTTTTAGGTCATAAAAATAGAGGTTTTTTTAGTTCAAAACCAGCCTCAAAACAATTTAAAAAGATGAGAAAACAAGTATGCTAAACAAGAGAACAAAGTAAGTGAACTACCTCTTGAAGCAAAGAGCAATCCTAGGCACAAATCCAAGCTAAAACCACTTGCTAGAGCTCAAATTAAGTCTCAAGGAACCTCAGCTCAAAGAGAAACAACTTCTATCAAGGAAGTATATGCAAAAGTGTAGAGAAAACAAGCTTCAAGGCACAAAATTGTAAGAGAAAGAGAAACCTAGAAAGAGAGAGAGTTTTTTTATCTTCAAAATTTTCTAACCACTCCACATGCAAGAGAGGGGTCCTATCTATAGAAAATACAAGATTCCCTCACAAAGATCTAGCCACACACGTGTTGGAAGATGCATGAACCTATGCAAACAGCTGGTACAAAATATCATAAAATACTTGCAGGATACATTGGTGGCCAGCCGGCCATCAGTGATGGACGGCAAGGCACATCAATGGCCGACAAGCCAAAAGCCATGGCCGGCAGCCTTCAATGATGGCCTGGCCATCAACAACTTCACTCTGAAAAGACCTAAGCATGGTTCAAAGATGAAACAAAATGGATGCATGGTTTGGAAAGCTCAAACCTGTGGCGTTCTGCCGTCGCCTTCAAGCGTTCGGTGAGCAATCAGACTCGCCATCGGATGTACCTGCAAGAACATCCAAGTCTTAGAGGGCCGTCAAAAATAGGGTGTCTACACCATCCCAAAAAAAAACAGATCCAATCAAGCAGTAGAAAATTTAGATACTAATATTCCTTAACCCAACTCAATATGACAATGGCTCAACATACCATTACAAGATCATGAGCAAATCAGATAATATTCAATCAATGATCATAAGCAACATGAGAATGCATAACTCAAAAACAAACATGAGAGCTCACAAAAAAAATGTGTGTGTGTGCAATCCTTGAGAGACCACAAAGCTAGAATTAATCCTCGTAGTGATCGGATGGCTGGACCTCCGGCAAGAGTAGCGAAACAATCATAGAGAAAAGTCAAACCACTAGACATCAAGGGGTATTTGTTGAGTAAGCGCGGGGGCTCCCCCTCAGTCAATGAGTCCCCTTTTATTTTTTATCATGAGACTTTTTTTTTCTATGGCCACTCACTGGTGGCTTGCGCGCTCAAGAGTATGGAGACCAAACCAGAGAAGCATGAAATCCAGAAAGGATGGCCTGGTTGGTGCCTCTGAGGTAGCCTTTTCCTAATGCCTGGACTTCAATGAGCTGAGGGAGGAACTGTGAAAGTGAAAAAATGATGGTAGATGGTTAAGAGACTTAACATCACCCATGATTTACCAGTATAGGTCAATTCCTCCAATAATGTAAAAGATACACTGTTAGTGGTCCATAGAGAACTTTGATCACTTGTGCGGAAACCCCTGCAACAGTTTATCTCAAGAATGTGTACAGAATGAGGTCATGAAGTCAATGAGCATGAGCATTCAGAATGAGTTATGAACAATGAAAAATGAAGTCTAACAAGCAACATAAGAGGAGTTCATATTTTTCTAAATGCAAGGATGACAGGAA